ATCGCAGAAATTTATGGTAGATAAACTCCATTAGGAAGCTAGCCGGTTCTCTTAAGCAAAGTTATTACATCTTGCCGATGACATCAGAGAGGGCCAGACCTGAAGTCAGAAGCCCTGGGGTGACATTCGCTGTCCTCTCCCTAACCTCTATGAAACCGTCTATAAATTGCTATTGAAAGTAGTTAGATTATTTAAGAAATGTTGTGAATCGATAAAATGTAGGGGAGGGGGGTTAAGGAATGGAAAACAACTGTAGACACCAGAGTTAGTGTGGGAGGAAGATGGGAAATGGCAGAGGTGAGAATGGCAATGGTGAGAAATAGGGGGAAAAATACATATATATGTGTGTGTGTATATACATATATATGTGTATATACACACATATGTGTGCATATATATACACACACACATATATATATGAAAAGGAAAATTATCGATGATACCATGTATCATTAAGCCACTATGCAGTATATTCTGGATGAGAAATCACATTTTGTATGCTGTGGTGATGCTCAGTGAATGAATGTAAGTTAATTAATTAATCAATTAAAAATTAAAATTTAAAATTTAAAAAAAATGTACAAAAGAAAAAAATTCTCTATGGGCGTCCTGGACTCTGCTGAGCCCTTGATCTCCCCGTGTGCAAATCTGGCCCAGTAGGAATCCTCTAGGCCTTGCTACTCAGAGTGCCGTCCATGGAACTACAATATTGGCATCTCCTAGAAGGAAGTTAGAACTGTATACTCTCAAGTGCCCGCCCCCTGCCCCCAACCCTGGAACTGAATTAGAATCTGCTTTTAACAGGATCCCCAGCTGACTCCTATGCACATTAACCTTTGAGAAGCACTGCTGTAACACACCCGGGAAATACAGAAAAGAAAGCAAAGGAGCCATGGTTGTTTCTGATAGGGTGAAAATCAGACCACATTAATTAGTGGCCTGAGGTTAGAATTCTGGCATTTGGGGCTTTCCAGTGTGCTGGTATCTTACATCCCCCCCCCCTTCTTGTTTCCTTTAATTTGACTCGGCATCTTCTTCAGGTTGTAAGCTTTTCCTTAAGCGAATGTGTGTTTTGAGATGTTCAGAGCTAGCACACTCCCCTGAGCATGGTGCCTGTGCTGCAACATTAGCTAGTTGTCACCAGTAGTTCACAGGCACAGCACCCTGGCACCTGGTGGCTGCTTTTCATTTGAGCTTACTTACCAAGGACTCCACGGATAGGTGTGTCACTTTCTGCAGCGAGGCATAGGCTGTTAACCCACAGGACCAGCCCCATAGCAGGGTGCCGCTGGCTGGGAAAACCTGAACATGGGAGACCTGGCTTTCAAGACTTGAACAATTCTTAGGCCTTTGAGAACTGTATTATCTCTAGATTGAAGTGGCGCAATGACAACTGTGCTACAGGACAGGATGTGTGAGCAGCCTCTTATGCTGTCTTCTTTCCTCTCCCCTCCCCTAAACTAGAGCTTTCACTCAGCCTTGATCTTAGAAAATAGGAAGAGGAATGAGGGACCTTGAAGGAAACTGGCTAAGTTGACTTAACTCTTGACCTCAGTTCACGAGGCAGAGGCAGGGGCTGATTCTTCCAACTTGGGAAGGAATAGTTATGAAGTCCCAAACTCAACTCCTCTCCTCCCTACCAAAGTAGGGGATCATGGAGTTATGGTCTAATCCAAATGAGGCTTCATTTTTTTCTTTTCTTACCGGTTTTTCCAAGGCTGTTCCATTGCTCTTAAGGTGCTTAAGGTGAATGTTGCGATATCCAACTCAATGAAAGTATGAGAGATGAGAAAAGATTTCAAGTCTGTCCAGACAAGGACACATTTTAGAGATTCAGACTGAGCTTAGGTACTTTGTTAACTTAGCCTAGATCAGGTCTCCTCAAACCTGATGTCGTGTCAGAGCCCCATCTTTATGTGAGAGCAGTCCAACCCCTTGGGCCTCAGGGCAGATAAGGCAAATGTTCCAGTGAGTACACTAAGTATGCCTCATGGAGCCAGCAGGTGGCGCAGTGGTTGAGATGGCTGAATCCCACATGGTTGTTGGCTTGGTTCAAGTCTTGGATCAAATATGTGTGCATGCATCCCCAGAATCCTGAGAGGGAAATGGAGGAGAAGGAATTGTGGTATGACCATGCTACATAGCAAAACAACAACAACAACAGAAAAAAAACACACTTAAATAAATAAAATGTCTCTTTGGTCCTTGGTCCTAGATAAATACATGTAGGCCAGATCCTAAATTGGCTTCATCTCTAGACTCAGAGCTCCTCTGAAGTGGGAAAATCTATTACTCATTTTTGTTTGATAGCACCTGGGACAGAGTAGTCTTTAATAAATGTTTGCTGAATGAATATGCAAAGCAAGACTAGCAAGCAAGCCCTTTGCTTCTTCTGGCTAGTACAATATCCACTTGCAAGTTCTCGTTTCAGCTATACATCAGGGATTGCATTTTCAGTTAACTTCTTTCTTGTCAACTAGTAAGCCTACATTTTAGGCTCACTCACAGTTGTGCATTTGGCCCTATATGTCTGTGTAGCAAGTCTTTAAATAATTATTTACTTAGTTCAATTTATTATTACCATTATTTTTTAAGTTTATTAATTAATTTATTTTTAATTTGACCAGTGAGAGATATAGAGTGAAAGAGAGAAGGTGAGAAAGAAAGTCACGAGGTTTGGGTCTTGAACTGTGGTTGACCATGTGGGAGTGTCCAGCACCATAACCACCATGCCAACCATTGGTCCTCAAGCTAATAGGTTTTCCATAATATATTTACTATTCCTCTTGTGGAGAACATTGAGATTTTTCTCTTATAAATATTTCTGTAATGAGCATCATTGTACACTTTCTATTTTTAAAAAGAATTATTTTATTGAACTTTATTTTATTTATTTATTTAAATTTGACCAGCAAGGGACGGAGAGAGAGAGAGAGAGAAAGAGCAAGAAGCCACCGAGTCTGGGACTTGAATTACCAGTTGGCAATGTGGAAGTCCAGTGCCCTTAACCACCATACCACCTACCGTCCTGCATGTACACTTTCTATTTTTACAGACACTATAGAAATAGAATGGTTGGGTCAAGACATTTTCGTGACTCTTCTTTTTTTTTTTTT